GCATTAAAAATGCAGAGATCAATGCAGGTCCGCTGCTTTATCGACTATTATAGTACATTTGAAAATGATTGATAGTACAAATTTCATGCACCTGAGATAAAATCCAATATAACATCACAAAACAGTGACGAAGATTTCATAAAATAAAATACTCAGCATTGTTCTGAAAATTTTTTATCTAAAATGTATTTCAAAGCATGCCAATTTATTTCAATTCTCCTTCAAATATTTACAATTTCCAAAAAAAAAAGGAGAGGGTTAATTTATAAGCCCTCAACATTTTTAGAAAGGATTACAATTTCCAAGTGGGTGTTTTGTAGGTTGTGAATAATTTTAGTTACGTAAGATTAACATGTTGTATTTGTAGTCCTTGGATTATAACACGCAGAATTGTTAGTTCTATAATAAAAAGCTATATTAATAAGTGAACTTGTGTAATTTTGTCTAATTGTACTCCTATAAAATTAAACTATCATTTAGTAGAGGATAGTAGTATCATCTGCATATCTCAAGTTGCAAATCTTCTTCCCGCCAATGGTGATGCCACCGTTCCAGTCCTCAGTAGCTTTCCGCATTATCCATTCACCATAGATGTTAAATAGAATTGGGCTTAGTATGTAGCCTTGTCTCACGCCCTTTGTGACCCTGAAACTATCCGTTAGTTCCCTATTTATTCTAACTCTGGTATAATTGTTATTGTACAGGCTTTTAATTAGTAGTATCAGATGATTGGGGACTCCCATTTCAGACGAAACCTGCCACATTTTACTCCAGTTGACCAAATCGAAAGCTTTACTATAATGTTGTGATGTTGAATTCTCTGGATTTTTCTACAATCTGCCGTACGTTTAAAATTTGTTCCCAAGTACCACGTCCGGGGACGAAACCTGCTTGTTCCTCCGCAATGTTAGGTAGTAAAAGGGCTTTATCCCCTCGAGAATTATGTGTAAGAGATACTTACTACAATGCGCAATTAGAGCAATTGTGCGATAGTTGCTACATAAATCTTTCGCTTCCTTTTTATGTATGGGAGTATATAGTGATTGTGTCCAGTCCTCAGGCCATTTACCTGTCTCCCACACTCTTTGACAAATTTGATGAATTATATCCACTCCAACGTCATCTAGGGCCCAAATCATTTCAATAGGCATGTTATCTGGACCGGCAGCTTTCTGACTTTTTTGCCTCATAATTGCTGCTTTACTTTTGAGTACGTCAGGTTCCGTCGCAAAACTGGCAACTTCTTGTTGTGATGGGGCGTCTGTGCTTTCCTCCATCATCAGTCGTCCACAGTATTCTTTCCATCTGTGTAAAATATCTTTTTTAGAAGTGAGTAGAGTTCCGTTGTCATCTTTGATAGCAAGGTAGTTTGGTGTAAAGGAACGTGTTATCTGCTTTATTTTTTTAAACATGTCCCTGGTCTCAGTTTTGGTTTTATGCCCTTCTATTTCCATGCAGATTTTGTTCAAGTGTGTGTTCTTGTCCTTTTTGCAGAGTCGTTTTATTTGACCATTCAGCGCTTTATAGGCCTCTTTATCACTTTCACTGTTCAGTCCTGTGGCTTTTAAGCACTTCCTCTCCTGTATTTTAGTCCACGTGGAGTCTGTTATCCATTGTTTCCTTCTTTCTTCTCTAGCACTCTTAATGTTTTTCGCAGCATTATGCAATATGGATTTTGTTTTTGTCCATATGCTATTTGAGGACTCTTCTGAATTTAATGATTGTTTGAGGTCACATAGCTTTTGCATTGCGGCTTTTTTGTACGGATCGTTATATCTTAGATGCCATTTAGTTGTTGTATTTCCTGTTTTTGGACTGTTTCTTAACTTCATGCGGAATTTAGCTGATAAAATTTGATGGTCGCTATTACAATATTTTCCTGGATAGGTCTTAACATCCTTAACAGCGCTCCTCCAACGGGTTTTTACCAGTATAAAATCTATCTGATTTCTGTTTCTATTTCCTGGTGATATCCAAGTGCATAGTCGTCTTGGGTGATGCTGAAAGCCTGTATTAGTAACAAACAGGTTGTCTATACAAAAGTGTAGCAAGCGTTCTCCTCTGTCATTTCTTTGACCAAGTCCATATAATCCGACGGTCTCTCGCAAGTAATGATCTTCTGTAGTTACACTAATTTTAGCGTTGAAATCGCCTACGACTGCTGTGATTTCTCTATTTGGCTTACTACGTTTACCCCTAAAAAGCACCATTGGATGGATTGCTGTACCAAGAGCATTACCACAAGAAACGATTGGTAACACCTTCATGTTCGTTTGCAACAACATGTAATCTTTTTGCGCATTTTTATGCCAAAACTTTCTACTGATGGTGAAGCAACCTTTCTCTTCTAAATGTCCGTTCGGGTTTATCCATTATGTCCATTTCTGTTAAAATACCTTTCAGCTTCGTTAAATTATTGGGATCCCTGTGCATTCGACAACCAGCATGAACGTTTACACACCATCTACATAGCGTATGGCATTTAAACAAGAAAATTGAAGTGTAATAAATATAAATTACATCAAGTTTATCAATTTATTCGAACTTTAGTCTGCTAAATAAAACATTTCAAATGTGTTTTTTTAATCATTCAGTTATTTTAAAAACTTCAATTAATTGATCTACTTGTGTCAAAATATAAATAACATGTTTTGAGGATTTTATTAAAATACATAAATAAATTTTTAAGTATTGTTAGTCGACGTCAGTTAATCTATTGCTTATTTATATACATTTACAAAATATGTAAATATAAACAAATTATGTAAAAAAGTTTCCTGAATGAATCAGTGACAAAAAATATCTTATCTAATCCTACAAAACTCAGTCACATTTTTTACCGTTATTGATAAGGTAGCTACTTCAGTTGTAAGGTCATTTAATTAATCTCTATTTCGTCATTGTTACTTTAACCCCGAGGGCACAAGAAAGGGAAAGTAATTTTCGGAAAATTACTTACTTATATTAATCGGTGTTCTCTCGAAAAACCAGTAACGTGGTCGGTAAAGAGAAAGGAAGAGTTTTCGAGGACGATTGTTATTTGGGCATAGTTTAATTCATATAGTTTACAATTTTTTTTGAAAAAAGTCATCATTTATACAAAACATTAAACTTTTGGTTAATACTTTGACTCATAATGAAATTAGTTGTTTATAATATATTAAATCATATATTATGTAATATATTAAAATTCACGCGCTTTTTAATAAAGCACGACGAGAAAAAAACATTGTTTTCACCCTGAAAATTGTATTATAAATCCTTGCAATCTCAGATACTTCAGGTCATATATAGACCTTTTCATAAAGCGTTGCATTCAGTTGTGTAACTTTTCCGCTGCTATAGATCTTATTATAATAACTCATTGTCTGGTTGTTTCTTTCTGTGGGTGATTTCTTTGTTTCTGGTATTCTGTTTTAGGTTTTTCACCTCTTCAGGACGTGGTTTATTTTTTGTGTTGGCTGCTGTTTTCCTTTTGCTGGCTTCGTAGTTAAACTAGTGGTTTGTTTTTGACTTGTCGTCGGAGGAGCGCACTGGACAATCAGAGGCTAAAGGGGCATTGGTTAAACGGCCCTTTTCAGAATTTATTGTTCTGAAAAATAAATTTATGGAAATGTGAATATGTTTACAATTTGATAGATTAATACATGTGTTAAAACGCGGTTCGCGTGAGGACAGTTGTGGCTGTATCCTCTGCAATAGACAGGTATCATTGTGCAATGGGATCGGGAAACCACAGATCCCCCCTTTTAGGCAAGCCCGAAGTGAGCATTTAAAAGTTAATGGGTTGGGAAAGTCACTATTGCAAATTGTGTACAATATGGGAGCCAACACTGAACTTTGTGGTACTCCTGCTGTAGAATCGGAGAAGTGACCTCGCTCCTTTACCGTGATTAGACGATGAGAGACATATGAATGGATAAGTCTAACGAATGAGAGGAGCAGATTGATGTTCAACAGTTTCTTGGCTAGTTCAGCATGCCAGACTTGGTCAAAGGCTTTTTGAACATCGTGAAAGATGCCTAAATATACTTTTCCGTCGTTTAGACTTGTGTGAGGTGTGTGACAATTTCTGTCAATGACGTTTTGGTGAAGCACTCTTCTAAAGCCGAATGGAAACGATGGAATGATGTGTTCGGTGGTAAAGTCAATGAGTCTCTTTTTGAGGATCCTCTCGGAGACATTAGCTAGAACGTTTAGGAGTGATAATAGATAATAAAAAAAAAACAAAATAGTGATTAGAGCTCAGGAGAAGACTCACTAATAAATAATTCTTCTGAGCCCATAACTAAAATCACATCGGGAATGATCAGAGGGACAACTATAGTTGCAGACTCTGAACCTGGTCCAAATGCTAAGCCAGAAGGTGTTCAGAGAGGAATAGACAGCACAAAGTATCAAAAAATACCTCTCTAGAGCTCAACAAAGGAGTATACAGAGGCTGAATCTTTGCTGGAATATGGACCAAAGCAAATCCTTATAAAACAAAAGAGGGAGTACCGGCAAAACTAGAGGGTCATATAGCAATGTTACAAAAGTATTCAAAATGGCAGTAGAACACAGGTACTTTCCAGACACTCAACTAGATTATGCTCAAGCTGACCTGATCACCAACAAACTGGAACAAGTAGTTGATGAAGTTCCTATTGCAGTTCAGAACCAACTTATACAGTTCCATAAAATATCGTTTAGTACAGGAATGCTGTGGGTGAGCAGCAAAGATGCTCTGATAGAATATCAAAAAGAGTATTAGAAATGGGAAATAGGACTGAAATAAGTAGAAGATAATACAGACAAAACACATAAGATCATCAATTAGTGGATGGAAGAAGATTCTCAATTATTTTAGTCCTATAAACTTGATGTATAAGTTCTTATTGGTGTAAAGGAGAACCATAGTGAATTTAGGGTAAATAGGTTTTCTTATTTTCATATTTGTTTTCCCCTGTTGTGGGATGGACCTCACTTCTAGTTGTAAATAAAACAAAAAATTATTTTTTACCATTTCATTTAATTTTCTTATTAATAAATATAACCAAAACAAAACAGTTTTTTATAAAACAATTATTTTCCCACCCTCTGTTCACATTTGCTGTACTTTTCCAATTTTTCCACAAACACTGGGAATGTGATGTTGTTGACTTTGTTGACTTTAAAGAATTCTGTTAGTCTTAACTGCCAAGGAGGATAATTATAAATGTTCAGTTTCTTTCCACAAATAATAGCCATTTCTGGATCTGGAAATTCATACTGCCTTAATAGTAATTCACTAATTTTTTCTTTACTAATGTCTTTTTCTTTATTTAAAGCTAATTTTTTAGTAACATTTACTATACTCTGCTTTCCATCCGCAGATGTTAACACTTTTACATGAATTTTTGGACCCAAAAATCCATTTTTATGCCGCTGTTCTGCATGGGTGTGCCAAATTATGTTGATATTCTCCAATTTTTTGGATTCTACAATTTGCTGTAACTTCTCTTCATGCTTTTTTAAATTATCTAAAACAAAAAAACATTCTTTATATCCACATCTTGTATATAAAATATAGAAATTACTATTGACATTTGTGAAAAATAGAAAACTTGTTTCAAAGCCAAAATTTTTTTTGGGTGCTTTTTTGAATTGATTTTTTTATAGAATGCAGTTTTCAATTATCTTGTATCTTTATATGGTTTTGAAGCTACTTTCTTGTGGTATTTTTATGTTACTTATCTTTTTTAATAGCCCAACACCCTCCTTTCAATTATCATAATGCATTTATTTTGAACTCACTAACTCTGGATGAATAGAAAATATTGACAGCCGGTTTAGAGCAATTACTACATTATTGTCAATCTTAAAATCATATAAAAAATAAACCACCTGTTTATATAGAACAAAAACATCAATATTTCCCAAAAACAATTTATCATAAAACAATGGGTAGTAAGAAGATTCAAATTAATTTTTTATCGTAAATTAATTGTTTTTTATTGCTTATTTATGTGATTATCAATACTATTATAACAAAGGAACAAATATTAAATAAAAAAAATAAATTAAAACTTTTTTGTCATGACTTAACAAGCAAAAATTTGACAAAATTTGATTTATAAAAAGTAGAAAAAATATTTTTAAACAACTATAAATATATAACTGTGGTGCATATTATAGCAATATTTATTTTTTATTTTTACACATTTAAGTTGAAATAAAACTTTGGACTCAAGCATGTAAAATGCTTTAAAAATGTTTGTGTCCTTATAATTAACCTGACAAAGAGAAATAAAATAAAAAGCTTACCTTTATAATCATAGAAACTAACGTACGGAATATTAAGACCTAAACACCAATATACGAGGTTAGCCAAATCTACCAATGAATATTCTTCCACACCAATAATGATAGTTAAATGTTGAGGCTTTTTTGTTAGTCTAGACAGTCTTTTCTTTAACTGGTCAGCATCATCGACAGTAGATTCTGGGTTTATAACCCTTATACAATTTTGATAAATAAATAAAAGAGTCCTCCAAATATTTTCAAAAATTGTATATAAACTATGTAATAAAATGTAAAGTACTTTATAACCATCAATGACCGGCATTTTGATGCTATTGTGTCTGACTAACACGTTCACATTTTATGAAAAAATCTGTTTTTGTTGGAAGTTGCATTAGCACCTGATGAAACTCATGATTTTCATTACTTCAGACTCCACACCTCACCGTGAACTCACTGACAGATGAACACCAAATAAAATTATTCTTCTCAGCACTTCATTTATGTTGGTTTCATTGGTTGTAAAGTTCAAGTGTAAATTTCTGATTGGTGGACTCATATTGATGTACCATGGTGCACTTTGACAAAAAAAAAGAAGAAACCGAGGCATGTTTTAACGTTAAACTTTAAGATTATTTCAAAAGTTATAGTCATCATTTAAGCAGAACACTGAAATTATGGCAACAATGCACACAGGGCCGTACTAATGCTATTATAGAAAATATCATTGGCAAAATACACCTGAAATTTTAATGTAAGTAAAATATACGTGTTATCTATCACTCTTTTAAATATAACAAACCATACTTTTACTATTTTTCCTTCAAAAGACCCACTATTAAATGTTAAAGTAGCTCGTATAATATATGTAAATGTAATGTTCCGAGCTGGATATGTAGTCGGCCTTATAAAAGTTTAAAATTTGAGAGACAATTTAATGTCATCACATAACCTTAAAATTTGTTTTGATTTTTGAATAACTATTTTTTAGTCACAAATGCCCAACAATTATGGATAAAACTACTATTCCAGAAATAAATTCTCAGCATGATTTGTATTTACAAGAAATCGAAGGAATAGATGATTACTGGGGTCCTACTTTTAGGTATAGATAATGATCCACCCATTTTTTATACTAATATATTTCTTATTCATAGGGCAATTTTTGATAATGAAGAACATGATGAATTTAAAAAGAAATTAAACGAACGTATTAAACATCACGATAAGGATATCGAAAGACTGTGTAATGTTTATTATCAAGGTTTTATCGAATCTGTTAGGGAACTTTTAGAAGTTAGATCTCAAGCTAACAAGTTAAATGTGAGTGTAATCAATGTTGCCTTAAGTAATAGTAGTAATGATGTGAGTTTTTGTAGAGTCAAGTTGTCACATTGGATAAACAAGTGCATGATGCAGCAGAGGGAATTACAAAGTCTGGATCAGATTTGCTTCAAGCTAGGAAAGTACAAAGTAATATAGCTGTTGTTATTGCACAGCTTAATTTATGTCTGCCAGTTTTTACAACATATTCCAAGCTGCAAAAACAAATTGCAGAGAAAAGGTAACATATTTATGTATTAATAATTCATTAAACACATCTAGAATGATGAGTTACGTTGTTATGATGTTTGTATATATTAAAATCGTGTTTATAACTTTAATAAACAAATTGTAGATGTCACTTTTGAGTACTAGTATTACTAGTAGACTATTTAATTTGTGATTATTAATTTGATGAGGAACAGGTCACCTAGATTAAGCAAATATTCTATGAAAAATAGTGTTTGAAGGAAAATGCTTTCTTTTAATTCTAGGTACTATCCTGCTTTAAAGACTCTTGAGGAATTAGAACATCTACACTTACCCCATGTGGCAAACTACAGGTTTTCTAAGCAGTTGCAAGAAAATATTCCAAAGTAAGTAAATACTTAAAATTTAAAGTAATATCTTCTGAATAATTGATGGATTCAACCGTTACTTGGTGGAAATTCATTTTATGTAACAATAAAACACTGAAAACTTTGTTTGCAAACTACCACAAAATTTATTTTAACCTCTTATAACTACAGCTGTTTCAGCTGATTGCCTTTCTCAAGTGATTTATTTTTGGCATGAAATTTACAATAGAAACAGAACAAAATCAATCCATAAATTTTTTAGATTTAAAAATTATCAGACTTGAAAATAAACATGACTTCTCCATATTTCATAAACCTACCCATACTGACACGACTATACACAATTCATCACCCCATCCAACACAACATAAACTTGCAGCCTATCATAGTATGTTACATAGATTAGCAGAAATTCCGATGTCAAAATACAACTTTGAGACAGAATTAAATATCATTAAGCCAATAGAAGTAAACAATGGACATAACGAACAAACATTTAATAAAATGTTAAATCAAAAACTACACAAGAAAGCCCTGAAATTAGTATTTCCACCACCAGAGAAAAAACCCAGTACCTTCTCTGCTCAATTACATATACAGACAAAATATCAACAACAAGAGCCAAAATAAAAAACACTTACACAGTGGCGTGTACAAACTTAAATGTGGCGACTGCCCAAAAACTTACATTGGTCAAACTGGTAGAAACTTTAATAAACAAATAGCAGAACATAAAAGGGCTTTCAAGAATAGAAAAACAGATTCTACATACGCACTTCACCTTCACAATCATTCTTTTAATGAATTAAACATTCTTCACATTCAAAATAAAGGCCTTAAGCTATCTTTGTTAGAATCTATGGAAATCAACAAATTAAAAAACACAGATATAATTCTGAATGACCAACTTGAGACAAACAGTTCTCCCCTCCTCAACCTATTTCATTAGAGACTATAAAGTGTAAACGCATGCCAAAAATAAATCACTTGAGAAAGGCAATCAGCTAAAACACTGTAGTGATAAGAGGTTAAAATAAATTTTGTGGAAGTTTGAAAACAAAGTTTTCAGTGTTTTATTGTTACATAATATCTTGTGGTACTCAATATATGTATTTCGGATTTTGAAAAAAATTTTTGTTAATTTAAATGTAATTTTATTTAAAAATTGTATCTAGAGACCTCAATAATCAGTTGTTCATAATAATAACAGTGTCAATGTTACTATTCTCACAGTTCTCTGGAAGGAACCAAGTTAATATTAGTTCAATTTCACTGAACTGTATTAGTTTGCCATTCTCAAGTAAAGGGTATATTACAAAAGCCTGTATTGTGAAGTTGTTAATTCTCTATAAGAGCATTTTTACATGTATACATTCTAATAAATAAATAACATTTTCAAATATTAGTGTGTAAATTTAAAGGGCAACATTGAATACATAACTTTGTTATTAATATTAATTAAAATAATTAGACCTATTAATCTGTTTTGATCACATCTATTAACTGACTATCTTTTGTTTACTTCAATAATAACCTTACTCCCAGTTTGTTTAAAAATGCATATATTTCAATTAGTCATTGGTCACAGTGAAACTTATTTCACTCAAAAATGTTTCTGATAGGTACAGAGAAAAAATCGAAGCCGCTTCCATGTCAGACTTGAAAGATTTTTTGGAAAACATAAGAAAATTCTCACCAAAAGTGGGAGAAGTTGCAATGAAGCATGTGAGTTAATATTTATTTTTTAAAGTTTCTGACAAATAATGTATCTTAATTTATAGACCAGTGAACAATTAGCCAGCGATCCTACAGTAGTGGGAAGGAAAAAGAAAAGAATTGCACCACAACCACCAGGTGAGATGTTGAGTCTTTTTCTTTTTACAAATTTTCTTCTAAATTTTCCCATATTTCTATATTCAACAAGTTGAATTAATAAACTAAATTCCTCATTAATGGCTTCTACACAGGATCCTTTATTCATTGACTCATGCAATTGTAGCTTTCTAGTTTTTTAACATTTCCATGTTTACTGATATAATTATACACATTCTTATGTCCCTCCATATTATAAATTTTTTACTTTTTACAGGTCAATTTTCTGATGAAGATCGTAGTGCTCAAGAGCTTATAGATTTCTCTCCAATATACAGAGGATTACACATAGCGCATGTCCTTGGCAGATCATCAACTTTTGAAACTTACTATAGAGCCGAAAGAACAAAACAAGTCAGACTTGTTCTGCAACCTCCTACAAATATGGTAAATAATGTTTATTTTTTAATTTTGCAACTATTGTTTATTTTCTTATTTGTTTAGCATGAATCAGAAGACAGTTATCGAGCCTACATACATGCAGTACTTGGATTTTTCATACTAGAAGATCATGTTTTAAATACTGGAAGAGGTTTGATAACACGAGCATTTTTAGATGAGATGTGGGCGATGGCGTTGTCCAAGATTGTTACTGCTTTGCAAACTAATTCGGTAAATATGCTTATATAGCAACAATATTTTGAATTTCATTTTTTGTTGTCAATAGTAAGAAATTTATTTACATTGTTTAGGATATTCTCACTTCATTTATGATTTTAGGCGTATTGCACAGATGCTACGTTAATACTAAGAATAAAAGACTTGATTATGTTGTTTTGTACAACATTAAGAAACTATGGATACTCAGTAAAGCCGCTGTGGGAGTTAGTAAGAGAGCTGAGAGATCATTACACAGAAGTTTTGATGCAAAGATGGGTGCAAGTGTTCAGAAAGATTTTAGCGGAGGAAGATTTTCAGCCTGTACAGGTAATTAAATGCCTCACTATGTTCGATATCATAAGTATCAACAATATTGTACTTTTTGACATTTATTTGGTTTTTGGATTTATTATTGTAGGTTGAAAATCTGGAAGAACTAAACGAACTGTTATTATCTTTTCCGTGGGAAGGCGACCTTCCAGATGACATGGACTATCCATATAGCTTTCCCTTTTCTAGCATGGTACCGAAAATTTACAGAGAAGTCAAAGAATTCATTTATGCTTGCGTTAAGTTTTCTGAAGATCTTAACCTAAGGTAAGTTAAAGCTAAAAGTAAGATTTAATTTTGTGATCAGCATGACATCTCGTGGAGGCTTGTTGAACTTGAATAAATAGTAGATTTTTATTTTACTGGTTACATTCAGCACCTTCATTTATTTACACTCAAAGTATTAAATAGTTGGCAGCTGTTTCATTTGAAATTCAAAAACAATTCTTGTGGGACAGATCTAAAGTTATCTTTGAGACAAATATTGTATTCCCATGAAAAAACCACCCGTTGCCGAATATCTAAAAATAACATTCTGTGTTGCCATAACTCAATGTGTGGTTAAACTAATATCATAACTATTTCTTTCTTTCAGTCAAGTAGAAGTTGACGAGATGATTAGAAAATCCATGAATTTGCTGCTGACCAGAACATTTAATGGATGTTTGTCTTCCACGTTTCGCAGTCCTCACGTTAACTTAAAAGAAATCATTCAAATTATTGTGGATACTGGTTACCTCGAAGAAGCCAATGTATATTTGGATGAATTTATATCGAATATTACAGGGTGAGTTTCAAATTCTATTTGATTCCATTTTATAGTTGGTTGCTGTTACATCTTCTACTTTCTTTTTATATTCAGTGAGGAATCGCGAGGAGTTAGTTCCGCTCTGGTTCACGGACAATCTGCTCTATTTTCTGTATCTAGAGAAGACGCCGTGCGGCAAATTTGCGAAAAGTTAAAGCAGAAATTGAACGAGTTCTTAGAATTAGAAAATTACGACTGGCTGTTAGTCGAGCCGAAAGGTCACGCTTCTAGTTACATATCAGACATTATCGCTTTCCTTCAGACTACATTCCAAAGCTTCACAAATATTCCGGTAATATTATCTGGAAGTAAAATTGGATAGATGTTTTAAAGAGTTTTACATTTTAGCTTGAAGCCGCTCAAATAGCCTGTAAGTCAGCGTGTGATCACATAGCCAAGTCCATGTTCGCCATGCTTATGAACGAGGAGATTAAGCAGATCTCAATGGGGGCTTTAAATCAAATTAATTTAGATTTACTTCAGTGTGAACGTAAGTAACATTCACATTTACTACCTTAAAAAAACTTCTTAATATTTTTACAAGACTTCTTTAATACTGAGTAATGACTGAGCTATAATAATATTCTATAATGGTCCCTGAATATGTAATTACATAATGGCCCTCCTGAAACTTTGTTTTGAACACTCTCGAAACAACACCAGATGATGACCTAATCTGCAATAAGTATATACTAGCATAATTTTTGCCTAACATATTGCAAAAAAACAATGAAGCCAAGTTTAGACCAGTACTACCTAGAGATAAATTGATAAGATATATTATTTTTTACAGAATTTGGTGCTTCTGAACCCGTACAAGGTTTGCAAGAAGGCGCCCTTCTATCCTATTTTGAAAGTTTAAGAGAAATACTTGATTTATTTATATCCTGGGATTGGCCCACTTATTTCCACGATTATGCACAAGATACCAGTAAATATAAGAAAGTCAATCCAGATGTTGCAATTGTACTACTAGAAAAGTAAGATATTACTAAAATATTCTTTAGCTTTACTCAAAAACAGAAAACTGAAGAAAGGCAGTTCCTGCATCTCTTTCTGATGGGCCAGGTTTATTAACCATGTAACTGCTTTGCATCAGTGTTTTCTGTCACATTGCAGCACTGTCTATTTGTATTATAATATGTATATGGCTGCTGCTTGACGTGACATAACAAAAAAATAAAATCGATTTATTTTTAGATTGAGAGAAGGTGACAAGAAAACCATGTTCACAGTACTTAAAAAGAGCGAAAGGGACAAAAAGAAACTTCTTGATACTGTCCTAAAACAACTGAGGCAGTTATCTCAAATTCCTGCAGGAAAATAGTTCCCTTTATCTCAATTGACGGAAGCTTTAAATAATTGTATTATTTTTATTTACAATATGGTGTAAAATATTTTATTTCATTTTATATAATAAAAATTTTAATATATACTTTATCTAACCATTGTGTTCTTTCAAATATTTATTTTGAATTATATATGATTCTGTTAATAATTATATAAAACAAGTAATTATGTGCAGTTTTATTTACCTGTTTATTTTCTGTTCCATCCACAACATATATTCTTCAAATATTCACACTTTATCCACCAAAAATAATCTGTATGTTTGTTTCACAACTATGTGTGGTTGAAAAATAATAATAAATTACTGGAACCATATGAAAAAATAAAAGAATAACTTATAAATTGAGAAAATAAAGTTACAACACTAATTACCAAACATCCAAATGCTAACGTTTAAGTAATTTTTACAGTAATAAAATTATAAGTGTACCTCATAAAAATACATTAAAACAAATTATATGAGCTTCCAATCACCAACAATCACCTAAAGTAAAATTTATCATTTATTGAAAATCACTCCACTTACTTTTCATTGTGTGACTCTGGGATATCACCTAAAGCGAAATGTACCCATAATAGTTTTTATACAACAAATAAACCACATAATAATTATTTTATTTACAGTTAAACAACTTTACAATTGATCATAAGTTACGATATAGACAAATTCTCGATCTGTTTGATAAGATCTATGTGCTTAAACTTATCTGGCTCATTGGTGAACTGTTCGAGAAGCTTCTTCTTTTCTGAATCTTCTTGTACATAGTACATTTGTAGTTGATTTGCCAGACATTGCGCCTCCTGTGCATTTATAACATTTTTATCGTATTCTCCTCTCATAAGCACAATTCCTTTGTCAGCTTCAAATTCATCGTAATGGGTGATGTTTAGACATTCAGGCGCATTTTCTTTATGAACTTGATAGTATAGTAGAGGTGTGAAATGTACAGTGTTTTGGGCAAACTGACACATAATAAACTCATAGCCCTGGCTGCGAGGAAGGGCAAATAGAAAAGTTGGATACTTTTTGGAATTTTCATTTAGTTTTGTAAAGTCTTTTGAAGGAATAGTGGCTGCTATACAATATTGTTTTTCTTTATGGTATTCTTCCCAAATTGACTTAATTTCTTCCGCACTTTTATCCTTTATTAAATCTGTTTTCATAATCTTCTCTAACGATTCTTGTTTAAATTGATCTGGTTCTGCTAATTTTGATTTTGGTGTCAACAATTGAGAATACTGCCTTTCTGGTTGTTTGGGAGGATCAAATTTCTTCGTCTTTTGGTTAGCTTTTTCAATGCGGGCTTTAAATTCATTAGGGTCTTCTTTATGTAATTTTGCTATTTTTTCAGCATACTTGTCATAGTAGGGATTACCTTTTAAGTCATCCACTACTTCTTGAAGGTTTCTTGGTGTTGTCATAATCGATTTTGTTGCAATTCGAAAAGATCCTCTATACAAAACAGTACGCATTAAAGACGTTAGATGCATTTTAGAACATCTAGCATATTTCTACAAAAAATTGTTAAATTAAATTTAAATTCGAACAATAATCGTCTATACATACCAGCTAAAACAATTTTATGCTACTTTCCTTTTGCAGCAAATTATTTCGAAAATAAATTAAAGAAATTCAGATATAACCTAGATAGAATTAAATTCTTCTTTTTAAAATGTTAATTTCGTATGAATCATATGGCACTGTCAGGAACACCAAATTCAAGTTTTCAAAAACTGTCACAATATATAGTTTAACGTACCTTAGTTAAACATATTATATTATACTAATACCGAAAATTTATATATTTGTTAATTATATTATTAAGTAACATAAAATCTAAAGACCAATTGCAGCTACCTTCTAGTTATGCAACAAGTAATACAGTTTTTGCTTTCCAAGGTTTAATTTTAACATTATTTAAATACATTTCTTTTTTAGTAATACATACTAAATTATAATAAAAGTAAATCAATTATATTATTAATTCAGTATATAATATAGAGCAAATGCGTCTACATTCTTTGTTATTATTGTGTGTTCTGTGGTATATCCACAGAAGTTTCCAAATTTCTTTCATGGAATTAGTTTTCATAAAACATTAAGTTCAAAAGTCAAATAATTCTTTTCGAGGTTAGGTCATAGCGAAACAGTGGAAGGTAAAGTATAAATTTATAATGTTATTTTATTTAAGGGTTCCAATTATTTTTAAGGCTGTAAACGTAATTTGTAGAATGTCAGGCAAGGGAACAATGGAACGTATAAAACAAAATGCCCAACTTGCTAAGCAAACAATAGATGAATTAAAAAATGAAGTAAGTATTTATGAAATGTTTTATTATACTTATTTGTTGATAGTATTGCAATAATTATCAATATTTTTGTTTTAGCTGAATATAATAAACAACGAGTATAACACCCTGTTAAGCAGGCAATTACAAGAAGAAAATGCTAAGCTTTTAGCAGCTGTTGAAGATGCAAAAAACAAATTGATCCAGTTGGAGGTTCAGAATGGAGTGAAACAAGTGCCAGTTCCAAATCAAATTGTAAATTCATCAGCAGTTGAATCCCTCCCAAATGACATAAAGAAAGATGAACCAAAAGCTCCAGCAGAAGCATCCAAGCCCAAGAAAGAAAAGAAAGCACCAAAAGAACAAAAGGTTGCTGAAGAACTGCCCATAGATGTGGGAAGGTTAGACTTACGCATTGGAAAAATAGAGGATATTAAAAGGCATCCTGATGCAGATACTTTGTATGTGCTGCAAATTAATGTTGGCGAAGAAAAACCTAGGACTGTTTGTTCAGGATTAGTTAAACATATTCCAATGGAAGAACTCAGGGATAAAACAGTGGTCGCTCTTTGTAATTTGAAACCAGTGAAGGTATTTATTTATAATTTATTATTGTATGTGTATATAGTTGTATAGATCCGTGGGCTAGAACTACTAGTAATACTGCAGAAACAAAGTATTTGATGAGCAAAAGTCTAGTAGTTTTAGAACATATTAAAGCGATTCTTGCTAATACAACTGGCTGCTAATGAAATGTGAATCAAGAAGAACAGAGTTTAAACAGAAACATAATTATTTATATAACAAATAAAACTGGAAAATGACAATCTTCAAAGTCTATGAGTATCACTCTCAAGAATTATCTGCTGTGTTCAAGTTAGTTTCTCCATTATTTCAATTTGATTAAAATCCAGAACAGCAAACACAGGCTATTGGGATCAATTTGAAGACTACAGTCCTTATTGCTATGAAATATAGTATCATATATGGTGGTATTAGGAGAACTCCACCATGTAAAACTAGAATCCTAGATATGCTTTGACTTACTACAACTTTTTTTCAATTAGCTGTTCCAATCATCTATTAATCTGTTCTTAAATGGGATGTTCATTTTTTGACGATCTGATCAGATTAGCAGTTAGGAGGTCATTGAATATAATACATATGTGGCAAAATTTAATCAAACTCTTTTCTCACATCCTTATCAGTAATCAATAATTTATTTATGTATTTCTTGTTTTTAAACAATTATTTCAACATTGGATATCATTTTAGATGAGGGGAATAACTTCAGAAGCTATGGTAATGTGTGCAAGCAGTGAAGCTGGAGTAGAAACCTTAATACCTCCTGCAAATAGTGGACCAGGAGATTTAGTTACTTGTGAAGGCTATACAAGACAGCCTGATTCAGTGATGAATCCCAAAAAGAAGATTTTCGAAACAGTTGCTCCAGATTTACACACCAATGCTAATCTAGAAGCTTGTTACAAAAATATTCCCTTCAAGGTAGAAGGCAAGGGATTGTGTTACTCAAAAACATTAAAAAATGTACCAGTTAAATAAAAGTCTGGATATTTTTTTAAGTTTATTTAAAGTCAAATAAAATTATATTAATACATTATTGGGTTTCATTTAAACCTGATCCGAAACATTCATTGAATTAATGGGAATCAACATCTTCATTTATTTTGCTTTTGTTTAAAAATCAAACATTGAAAACATGTTTTGTTTATATAGTAAAACTTGATTCCTACGAATCTAACAAAAGAGACAATATTATACAAGAATTTTAAGAAGTCTAAAAACTACTTTAATCAATTATTTAAATGTGCACTTGTAATTTATATAATAATATACATAAATATCACCATTGAACTGTCATTCTGAAGAGGCACTTCCCAGTGCTCACATGACACCTAAATAAAGAAAAATTTTATCAATTCTAATTTGTTCTTTTACCAAAAAATATGCAAACGAGTAGTATTTCAGCTGTTTATTTTTATCCTGGTATATATGTTTATGTATCAACCTGACAGCTTTGCAAGAACAAATATTCATTGCTATTGTTTTTATAATTTGTGTGTGTCTATATATTTTAAATGAATTACATGAAAAATTTATGTTTTCTAGTACAGAAATAGTTTTCAAAAATGCTATTGAATATGAAAATGACCCAACCTATAAATATTATGTTTTTCTGACAAACATTTGCAAATGAATTCCTGACAGTTTATGGTTTACTTTGTCTGGCTTTACTGGGATCAAGCATTTACTATACTTTGATTTATCATGAAATAATAAACGTGTATCTACTTCAACACATTTATTGCTGATCAGATGAGTCAATTTTTGATTGTTATAAAACATGTGGGTGCAGAACATCAACTTTGTATATATTTGGTATAAAGGTTTTATAGTTACTATAATTGGTAACTGGAATATTTTTAACAGAACATTAACAAATCCTTCTGAAAGTTTATAAGCAAGTTATACTTGTTTATTTACTCTTAGTAAGGTAAATGTACATATTGTTACGAACATGCATTCTACGTATCCCATATAACGGTTGCATCGCGAGACTACGAAAATCTTCCAAATGAATCAAGCACGGGAAAGCGATGTCCCTGAGTCATTCCATTTTCAATTAGCAGAAGAAGCAGTTTTAATGAAGATCAAAGAGAGTTCTAAAAAAATGATAAGAAATTAGAGAAGATCAAACAATTAGAGACCATGATAACTAAGACGAAAGTGCTACCACCAGTTAATAAATTAGTTTTAGATCCGTTAGTGAAGAAGAATCACTTAGAGACGAAACGCCACATCATATGAGATTCAAATTGCCACCATTTGATGGAAAGTCTCCTTGACTGCTGCTTTACGAGGTGGCCACAGGTGAAAGGATGACCACATTGAAGATGAGGCTCGAACAAAGAAAAATATGTTATTTTGAAAGATGCTAAATTGATTTCCTTTGAAACAGATCTTATTGCATATAAGACTGAGGCTAGTTTCCTACTTAAAAATAGAGATGAAGGGACCATTTAAAGTTGCTGTCTATAAAAATACCAAGAAATTTTACAGAATTATTGATACTGATCTGGCTGTAGTTAAGAAGGGTTGAAGAGCTGCTTTATCGAATGATGGTACTGTCTTATCCACGGTAAAAGAGAGTAAATTAGAGTCGGACTGGGTTTTGTAAGTAAATCAGAAGTTATAGTTGCAATATTTACAAGAGGATTAACCAGAACAGGCTGGGCAGAAAACTTTGAGGAAAGGCTAAATATAAGAGGTGAGACAGGCCTCCACGAATCAGAAATCCAACTCGAGGACAGAGGTAGAAGTCATCCAAGCTATACAGAGATTGAAAGAAAACGAAGCTCGTGGGGCAGATGGCATTCCTTCAGAACTTTTAAAGCATGGAAAACCTGACATACTGTATATGTAGACTGGTAGAACTGATCTGGAAGCAAATAAAGCTGCGTTTAAGATGTTTTGAACGTAAAATCCTCCGGCATATATATGGAGGAGTATAGGAGGTTGGATTATGGCATAGACGCTATAATTTACTTAGCATTGAGCAGGCTAAGACCCACCATGGTTTGTAGAGCCAATGATGATGATGATGATAGTTGCAATATTAAAGTGGCTCCAGGTGATCCTCAAAATGAAAAATTTTTCCATCGATTTTTAAATTAGTGATGTCAGTGAAAACAGTGGCAGTGTAAAGATTATTGTTTAGTGCTTGGTAAACCTCATGTAGTATAAAAACCATAGTATCACTGGTACATTTATTAGATAAAAAGTCGTAATGATTTTGTGATAAAATGATGTTTTCAACAAGAAAGGACATAAGTTGGGCTTATAAGTCTCTCAATAATTTTGGATATTACCGGGAGTAAGGCAATAGGTCTATAGTTGCAGGCATTCGATTTTTCACCACCCTTATGAAGAAGAATAATAATTACTATCTTTAGACACTTTGGAAAAGTACCTTTTTCAATTATCTTTAATTATTAGTGAGACCAGGACTTGCAATACATTTTTTGGGAGATTTGAGAAACATTTTATGTATAGTCCATTAACACTACAGGAAGATTTGCTTTTGATACTACTGATTGTTTGGATCAGTTCATATTTATCAACTAGTTTTATAAAGTAGGAGTTCAAGACCTTTTTTGAAATGGGATCTTCTTGTGGTGGATTATTATTTTTAAACATATGATTTAGCTTATATAATAATTAAATTTATTAACAAATGATATTTATTAATAATTATTGGGTCTGATTTTGACAGGTCTGTCATAAGTATGCTTTATTAATACGTTAACAGGTGGCGTTACTTTCCTAGTTGATTACCGATTTTTATTGCGTTATATATAGCATATAAGACTCAAACTAAACATATTTTTGTATACTAACGCCTGCCCCAATTTTCCAAAACAAAACAAACAATATTTTTCGCAAATTAAAACAAATATAAATCTTTTTAGTAGGTCATGGTCTAGAAGTAATACATAGCAGCTGTCAATAAGATGAAAAAAAAAAACTGTCAATAATTTATTGACATTTAATAGGACAGAAAGAAAGGATATTTATAGGTTATGTAATTTTTATTACAAATAAATCTATAACAATCATCGATATAATATACCAAGGATGGAGCCTATGAATAAATAATTGCGTCCAAAGTAGCTAGTGACAATGGCCGATCTTGTTTCCGGAATGTCAATAGTGTACGAAAAAAAATTCCTTAGGTACATATTATTATATGTACAATAATTATTTTTTGTATCGTGATCACCCAGATTTGGGCACCTAAAAGGTGGTCTTTCATAGTACATACTTACAATATATTGTAGCTTAAGTTTCATACATAAATAACCTAGAAAATCACTTGTGGAGTTCACTACAAGAGAAATATTTTTAGCAGCTTCATGAATGATATTGGAAGGCCATTGAGAACTTAATAATATATCCACACCTCTAAAGGAAGGATTTCCTTTAACACCCATATCACAAAGGTCTGATACATCTTTCTCAGAATAAGTCCATGCTGTTGCAGAATTCTTTCCTGATATACCACTAATGTATGCTATTTTTATGCCCTTACTGTCTGTATACACTCTACGTTTTCCTAAATAATATACATTATTACTTATTCATACTGAAACTCATCTGAGGGGTACTGCTCAACATGTTCTTGTTTATTTGGTCCTAATCCACTGTTTGCCTGCCACTGCTCTTATGTCATCTACCCATCTTTTTTGAAGTCTTCCCATGCTTCTTGTTGTCGTCCTTGGTCTCCATTCTAGAATTCTCCGTGTCCTATTATATCGGGCTACGTGACCTGCCCAGCGCCATTTCATTTTTGTTTTTTCTTCCACAATATCCCTAATCTTCGTTCTACGTTTTATCTCGGTGTTTTTATAATATAGCTAATAATGCAACGTTAGTTCCGTCGTCTATGAGCTACATGTAAAAATATCAAAATTCTCCATTTTTAGTATATTATATCTATGATAACAATAATGAACTATATATGTATAGCCGTTTTGTATTTGATGCGTTTATTACATTGTTTAGATCGTAAATATAGTTTGCCAATCGCATTAGCCATGAAATAACTACTCTTTGCATATTTTTCATTTGAAAAAGAGCCTTAAGAATTGGTAAAAATATACAACCTTTTGGGATCCAATTGTCGATCAATGTCTGTGAGATCTCTTACCCCTACTGCTACTATCTGACCTCGAGCGCCTTCTCCTCTTTCTGTCAGATCTCGAACTAGAAGGTGATCTTTTTGAATACCGGCTTCTAGTCGAACTTCTGGATCTTCTCGATTTGTCTCGCGATCGCGATCTTTTTGATCGTCTGTACGAAGACGATCTAGACCTGCGCGATCTGGAATATGATCTAAAAAAAAGTGAAAATAGTATATTGAGTATTTTTAGTTAAACGTCATCCAATTTGGACTTCTGCTATTTATACACAACGTTGCCGCAGTGTTGGGAGTAGAGTAAGAGAAGCTTTGGCCAAACAGGATGGGACATTTGAACTACTATGTCGTCAATGTTAGTAAGCGGTGAATCTGCATTACCAGCCGAGCATAAACGTTAGTTAAGACCAAAACAATAAAAATCTTGATATACAGGGTGTAGTTAGAAAATTCTTTTGCGGCATTTTAGGTTTTAAGGATGGAATTAAGTCGGATCGTGACGTATGATAAATCACTGGAAAGGAGAGGCGATAGTGAATGTATTGAGACATTAAAAACAAACATGGCAGCATTGCCAAAAGGGCACTACATCATATCTCCGTTGTTATTGGTCAGATTGGAGCGTGTAACGCGTTACATGAAAGGGGAATATACAGGGTGTTTAAAAAAAAAAGGTGACCCCGTCTCTAGGGTAGGTAAAAAACTAATAAATAATTGGGATTTGCTTAGTAAAAAATTTTTGTAACTCCATCCGTTTTCAAGATACAGGGCGTTAAAGAAAAAAAATTTACGCATTTTTTATGATTTTGCCGAAACTAGTGGCAACATTGTAATAAAATTTTATACGAATATTAGTCAATATAACTTTTTTAAGCGTATAATTATTAATCAAAATTTCAAGTAAACTTAAACATCATTCAATTTTACACGAAAATGTACTCTTGGTAAAACTCGATACTGTGTACCGTTTTCGGAATATTTTGATTTGAAAATTATGAAGTAATAATTGATGCTGGTATAAAATAGTTAGTAATTAAACAAAACTCACAAGAAAATTAAATTATTGACTAAAAACATAAAATAAAATTAAATTACAGTAAGTGTTCAAAATGCCCTCGGTTTTCGCAAATACACAAGTGTATTCTTTTTTCTAAAGATTCCATTAACCTTCTAAATGGTAGGGGATCAGATATGATGTCATTAAACTGACGTTGAATTCTTTCTTCCAATTCTTGGCGTGAATTTACCTCTGTAGCATAGACTTTTTCCTTAATATACGACCAAACTGCGTAGTCCAAAGGGTTAAAATCGCATGACCGAGGAGGCCAATGAATCGGAGCTTCTGCACCTCTACCAATCCATCGATTCGGAAAATGATTACTCAACCAATTACGACACCTTCTATCAAAGTGTGGTGGAGCTCCATCGTTCATAAAAAATAAAGATCTTCGCTCGTTTAGCGTTAAATCTTATAATATCTCGAATAAGGAATTGTTTAAAAAATCAAGATACATATTATTCTAAACGATAGATAATCTGGCAAGAGCTCTTGGACTTGTCTGTAATGATAAGGATGTAATTGCTGTTCTTTCAGTATCCGCCAAGTACTTGAAGAAGAAGTATTTGTTTGTCTTGCTATATTCCTTACGCTAACTGTTGGATCTTGATCAAGTAAATTTAAAATTAAAAAATTTTTTTTTCTTCAACGCCCTGTATCTTGAAAACGGATGGCGTTACAAAAATTTTTCAGTTTTTTACCTACCCTAAAGACGGGGTTAACTTTTTTTGAAACACCCTGTATAACATATTAAGATAGAATAAATTTGCTTTATTGACCTGAAGAAGGCCTCTGACTGAATACATAATAAACAACTAGGCGAATTCTAGCATATAACACATCGCATTGAAACGAAGTACATGTAATGTATATAACGTGTATATTTCCTCTCTTTTCCAATTCCATCCTTAAATCCGAAAATGTCACAAAATAATTTTCCCTGCATATCAAGATTTTTACCTACTGGTTCCAGTCTTGACTAAGGTTTATGCTCGGTCGGTAATACAGATTCAATGCTTACTAACATTGACGACATAGTAGTTTAAATGTCCCGTCCTGTCTTGCCAAAGCGGCCCTTACTCTACTGTTTGGATAGTAGAAAATGTAGGGAATTATGAAATAAGAAATGTTAGGTTATAATTCTTATTATTATTATCAATTCATTTATTTAGAGATCCGTGACGACAAATTGCAAAGACATAATAAAGAAGATTTTGCATTATTACATTTAAATATTTTCTAAGTGTTTTCATCTCTGTTGTTTCTATCATCCTTTTTGTCCTATCTGTGTCAGGTCGTGTTGGGAGTATGAAACACTGACACAGAGCTAGAAGGACAGATATACGATGTAGATGCAAAGTGGAGAAATCATGGATTAACAAGAACTAATAATGGATCGATCATATAAGCCTAATGACAACAAATAAAGTAGTAAAGACAGCAAGATGTCTTCCCCAATAGGAAGACCACGAAAACGATAGAACAACTTAGTGGAAGCACATTGAAAAACAGAGAGTCATGTTTACGTAAAAAGAAGAAGTAGAAGAGACATTTAAATATAAATACCCACTGTAAATTGACAAAATACTCATGACTGATAATTTAGGACCTTTTAAAGCCTCAGTGATATAGAAGTTATCGTTTTTTGAATACTGAATGTTTTCTATAAATTTTATATCGTTGTTGAGGTATATTTAAGCAGTTGGTTGTACTGTAATGTCGTACAAACGTCAATATTGACGTGCAATGGAGTTAAAAGTTAAACGGGAAGAATGTATAGAATAAAAACAGTGGTGAAACATAATTGTATCTGAAAATAGAAAATTCAGGATTGCACGCATGTTTTTGTATGAGTCGCGTGTCATTGTAATAAACAGATCTAATGACAACTGTTTTCTTATCACAATTATTCTTACCTAGACCTCGATCGCTTAGAAGAAGACGATTTCTTCCTTGATCCTACAGAATCTCTTCTGTTCGGACTATTCGAATCCCGTCTGGATCTCCTTGATGAAGGAGACTTGGACCAACGAGACGAAGCTACGCGGTGTCTTCTTTCGGGAGTGGGCGATCTCTTTTTAGATCTTTTGTATGAACTTTTCGATTCGTCCGACGAAGAACTATCTTCTTGTGAAGATGAGGAACTGGATTGTGGTTTCTGTTTTTCATACACGGGGGATGCGTCTCTCGTATCGTGTTGGGAATATCTGCGATCTGAAAAACAGGAGGAGCGTGATTCGGTCGATTTTTACTCTGATCTTGCAGTTTGTCGTTTCTCAGGAATCGAAGAAAAATATTTGAAAAGAAGAACATTGTTTGGTAGCAACTTTCAGAAATCGTGGTTGATTTTAACTCCACGTGTTTCAATTTTCAAAAACATCACATTATATTACAGCTGGGGTTGATCATTACATCTTTGTCCAGGTTGTATTAATGTCCAATGAGAAAAACCCTTGGTCCATTGTTTTGGAGAATATAAATAGTTCCCTCGTAGTAGTCTACAGATTATTCTTCTAGTATACAAAGTAACAACTTATTCTCAACAAACATCTAAATTTAGTAGTTTTAATCGGACGTTTAAAATTGATTTTAACTTATTTTCTATTAAAACAACAAACTGCAATATAAAAAAGATCTACCAATAAAGAATCAATCAATCACTACCATTACTTTACCTCCAAGGCAAAAGTCAATAAGTCTATACACTAAATCAAATAAAAGCCTCGTTTACTTGCTCTAACGAATTTTCACTAAGTTATCGACATCACTTGTCAATTGCCAATCGTTTTTAATTCTGCTCGCAGTGCAAACACAATCGCGAAAGTTGTGTCTCACGAAATGCCATAAAACACAACAATGGATTTTTAAAATACTGACCTTGACTTCTAGCGTCTACCTGTGAATCGTTATCGATGGATTCCGGACTTGGTGATCTGCTAGCGCTGCCTTCCTTCCGCCTTTCCGCTTCGTCTAACCTCTCTTCTATTTCCCGTTCGGTCTTTTGAAAATCGCTCACTTTTCGTTTGATCGCATTCTGAAATATATTTCATTTTACTCTCTGTCTATGTTTCATCGCTTTGCAGGATTTCAAAGTATAATTTATAAATTTAATATTAAATTATAATACTATATACATACGACTATGCTCAAGGTAACTACTGGCATCTTTATCATTTAATTTTGCAGTTTAACTGGTCCACATTATTCTTATATAAGGATATTAAAAATGCTTTTAATGTTTTTTATAGTCAAATGTACACCTTTTTAAAATTTTCTATTCCTAAAGCCAAAAAAGAGCCAGCAACTCTACTACCAGGTTTCCAAACTGGTGCTCTCAAGATTTGATCCATAAAATTGATTTTAAGAACTGATATTAAAAACCAAACCAAATATGAGCATAACTTATACAAACGTTCACTTGAAAACCATCTACTTGCTGACCCAAACAAATTCTGGACTTTCTTTAAGTCAAAATATAAGAATAGTGGAATTCCCATAGAAATGACAATTAACAACCCCAAGTTTAATACACCTTTTAATATTGCGAGTGCTTTTGCTAAATATTTTGCATCAGTGTATGATACATTTGACTGCACACATTGTCATTCTCAAAGTACTGAATGGGGTTTATTTACCTTTAAATATATCACAGAATTAGATGTTGTAAATAGTATTATGGTAAAGACTAAACTCAACGAGGAATGTGAAAGACTCCAAAGAGAGTTATCACCAACTACAGAAGGCTTATGGACTGAAGTCAAGAATGCTTTTACTAGCGCCGAGAAATATATAAAAGACACTAATAACGAAAGAAAATCTAAACCCTGGATGACACAAAAAATTCTGGGAATGATGGATACTCGAAGAGCCTACAAAAATAAAAATAATGAAAAATATAGGGAGATACATCGTCAAATCAAGAAAGAAATAGCTACCGCAAAAGAAAATTGGATGATAGAAAACTGCCAAGAGATCGAAGAATTAATAAAGAAACAAACGACAGTCAAACGCTTCACAAAAAAATAAAAGATCTAGCTGGAATGACAAAACAAAGACTCCCTTGTAGATTAACAAACGACGAGAATGAAACGATATGGGAATTAAGCGATCTAAACAACGTATGGGGACATTACATAGAAGAACTATTCTCCGACACACCACTAAACAACATAATATATAAAAAACCATGAAACCAGTCCTCCTATATTAAAACAAGAAGTAGAGAGAGCAATCAAAAACGCAAAAAATGGGAAAGCCCCTGGCCCCGATGACATACATACGGAAGTCATAAAGCTACTGGAAGAGAAACATTTAAATATAATCGTCAAATTATTTAATCAAATATATACAAGCGGTGAAATTCCACAAGACTGGTTAAAATCAGTCTTTATTCCCCTTCCAAAAACTAAGGGAGCAAAGAAGTGTGGTGATTTCAGACTTATTAGTTTAATGTCGCATATGTTAAAGTTATTCTTGAAAGTTATTCACCAACGCATTTATAAGAAATGTGAACAGGATATCAGTGATGAACAATTTGGCTTCCGAAATGGATTTGGGACACGGAAAGCATTAACCAGTTTTATTATAGTGCTGCAAAAATGTCGAGACCAAAAAAAGGATCTCTTTTTATGTTTTATTGACTATCAAAAGGCCTTCGACAAAGTAAGACATGATAAGCTGATGGATTGCCTTCACAAAAAGGGACTAGACGAGAACAATTTTAAAATTATCCAAACGCTGTATTTTAACCAAACTGCAGCAGTTAGAACAGAAGCCGGTGACACAGAAATATTCAATATCAAGCGAGGTGTACGACAGGGGTGTGTATTGTCACCACTACTTTTCAATATATATATATTCGGAAGAAATCTTTGCACGAGCACTAGAGCAATCAAGAGAAGGTGTTAAAATTAACGACAGAGTTCTAAATAATGTACGATACGCCGACGACGTGGTCCTAATTGCAGAGAGCGCACAGGATCTCCAGACACTCTTAGATCGCGTCAGATCGATCGGAGAATAATACGGCCTCAGCATTAACGTCAAGAAAACAAAAACAATGATTGTCTCCAAAGTATCCATCCATCCACCCATGGCTTTAAACGTGAATGGTAACATTATCGAAAATGTCGAGAAATTTCGATATCTAGGGTGCTGGATAACGAAAGATATAGATCCAGACATAGAAATAAAATCGCGAATTGAACAAGCAAGAAATGTCTTTTTAAAAATGAAACAAATGTTTACGTCCCAAACACTCAATCTCAAAATCCGATACCGAATGCTGAAATGTTACGTTTACAGCACCTTACTATATGGAATGGAGGCCTGGACCTTCAAAATCAACTCACTCAGGCGTTTGGAAAGTTTTGAAATGTGGTTATTTCGAAGGATGCTGAAAGTCCCCTGGACAGCGCATATGAGCAACGAGCAGGTCCTACACAAGATGGGTACCGACAGAGAACTCTTAAAAATAATGAAAACACGGAAAACCTCATATTTGGGACACATATACAGAAATGAGAAATACCAGCTACTGCAGCTTCTTATAGAGGGGAAGGTAGAAGGAAAACGTGGTCCTGGTAGACGGCAGGCGTCCTGGTTGAAGAACATTCGTGAGTGGACTGGTTTGGATTCTCAATCTTTAATAAGAAAAGCCAGGGACAGAAATGCTTTTGCTGAGGTTATCGCCAACCTTCATTGAAGACGGCACCCAAAGAAGAAGAAATAGTATTAAAAAACTTAAACCCAAAAAATCCACAGGCCCTGATGAAATACCACCCTATATATATATAAGAGAATGGCCGAACCCTTGGCTAAACCTCTGGCGTTTTTGTTTAATATGTCGATTGAACCGGAATATTTTCCAGATAAAATGAAATGAAAAAGACAGAAAATATTTGATTTCACGCAAACAATTCCTATGTATCTGTTGATACGTATTTCGACCTAATAGGTCTCATCAGAACAGCTATTCATAGGAGTTCTCAACGTGAAAAATCAATATTTTCTGCCTTTTAAGAAGCAACAATAAAATGGCTTCAATACGGACGCGATAGCGACATCTAATTACAAAATCCGTAAAATAGTTTCGAAACAATTCAGATTTCTGCTTATAATCTGAGCCTTCTAAAAATTGCGAGGCAAACAGACAAGTTGATAAAAGATGTTGATACAAAGACAAGTTGATAAAAGGGACATGGGGAATCTAAAATTTGCATTCCACGACATGTCTTTTAGAACTAAGCAGAAATCCTTAGCGAATTGTGCTTCTAGTACTCACACAGAGTAGATCCGAAATAAAATGAAAAAGACAGACTGTCTTTTTATGTAAAGAATGTAGAATGTAAAAGACATGTCGTGGAATGCAAATTTTAGATTCCCCATGTCCCTTTTAACATCTTTTATCAACGTCTGTTTGCCTTGCAATTTTTAGAAGGCTCAGAATATAAGCAGAAATCTGAATTGTGTTTCGAAACTATTTTACGGATTTTCCAGATATTTTAAAAATGTCAACAATTTCTACAATACATAAAAAGATAAAAAATGACATTCAAAACTACAGTACTAAACTATTTTTTAAAGTATTCTTTATGATGATATATATGAGCATGTTAAGAGTAAAATCAGCAAATTCCAGAACGGTTTTGTAAGAAATAAATCAACAGTAACTACTAATTTCTGTGTTCTCTCTGAACATATTGCTAAGGCTATTGAGGCAGGGGAACAGTTGGATGTTCTGTATAATGATTGCGAAAAGGCATTTGACAAGGTAAATCACTGTATTCTTTTAAATAAACTGGTACAGTTTGGTTTCTCAAGAAAAGCTTTCAATTTAATAAAATCTTATTTGTTAGATAGAAAGAATACAGTAAAAGTAAGTAATTACTTTTCTCACCAATATGTGTCATCCTCAGGAGTCCCACAGGGGAGCAAACTAGGACCATTGCTCTGTATTTTATTTATTAACGACTTGCCAGACTGTATTAAATCTTGTAACAGCTTAATGTATGCCGATGATTTTAAACTTGTGACAAACTCTAATAAGAAAGATGGATAAGAAAGAATATGTTAAAAGTTTGTAATGAAGTATTTAATAGACTGACTCATGTGGATATATTTAATGTAAAAAGCTGTGAACTTAAGATACTGCTTGCTCATCAGGACTAGGTTTAATGGGTTTATTGTATTTTTTCTTATTGTATTATTAATGTTTGTTCCTTTCATTCATCTATTGTATTTGTTTTTTGTCTTAAACACTTTCTCTAGTGTTTGTAGGGTGCAAATAAATAAATAATAAGTCGCGAGCGAACATTAAATGAAAAATAGGATGACACATCAACCAACCGGACTAATAGCCAGCTGGCTACTGACTTGATAGTTATGCAGAGAAGTTAAAAGTTATGATAAATGAATGTCGCAACACCAACCACATCATATTCAATATAGATGAGATAAATCTGGCTTGGCTGTGACTTGGCAGTATAATTGGGTGACAGATTTCCTTTTTGAGGATTGGTTTGGTCATCATTTGATACCTGAAATCGAACATCATTGTCAATCTAAATAAATTCCATTTAAAGTAATGCTAACCATCGACAATGCACCAGGTCAAGTTTTGACCCACTTGCAAGTTAAATTTTTACATGCTAATAGATAGCTTGCTTCAACCTATGGATCAGGAAGTCATTAAATTATTCAAAACTTATACCAGACCATCACACATCTGTATGAAGTGATAAGAAAAACGATGAGCTCCCTTAAAGACTTTTGGAAACAATTCAATATTTTAGATGCAGAGAAAACCATAGGAGAATCTTGGAATGAAATTTCACAAATAATGTTAAATGACGTCAGCAAAAACTGACTTTTTTTCATCACTAACACTAAGATGGAGTTGACGCCCTAGCCTGATGAAATTATTAATGCGGCTAAAGAAGTTGTTAATATCACTCAAATGTGTTCAATTGTCAGTATGGATACTAATACTCTAAATAGAACTTTAATCCATATTTTGTAAAAATATCAAATCTCATTGTTTTTGTCTACTTACCCTCAACTCATCATCAGAATCCCTGTAAACGCCTCTATCTCTCTCATCCTCTGAACTACTTCCCGAATCGTCTCCTCCATACATACCCAGTCCTATCATTTGTATTATTGTTGAGAAAACGAGATATGATATGTTGGAAATAAAGTTAAATTGCCCAAAGATTACAATGAGCTGGTTCAAGTACAGGTAAACAGAACTTTTAACATTTAAAATTTACAAAAACACCCAGTTTTTGGAAAAAAATAATTATGTGATTCTGACAGATGCTGAGTCAATCACAAACAAATTTCTTTCTTCTTTTTTAAAAGGATGCTAGGAACTACTTAGACCAGTGATTCCCAAAGTTACTAAATTACAACTTGTTCCATAAAACCTTAAAAACTGGGACTCATACACCATGAAGAAAAAATGGGCATAACTTTAGGAAGGACTGTTAAAATATGAACAAATTAATTAGGTGAATGAAACCATAGGTTTCGCAGTCAATATTACTCATTATCTATATTAAAAAAATAATTTGTTACAGAAAGATTATTTCGGTTTGAAAGAAAAAAAATCCTGATGCCTTGCCAGACACATATCTCCATTAAAGCACAGAAAACTGCTAACATTTTTTTTTCAATTAGCTAATGGGTAAACATTGCAATTTAAGTATCTAATTTTCAGGTTTGAGATGACCTGAAAAGAATAAATGATAAAATGAATTTCAACTGGCACAATAGAACACAGGGTGATAACTGGGTTAACAACAGTTTTACTAAGTACACAAAAAAACATATTATAAAGCTAACTATAGATAAAAAAGGAATCATCATTTTGTACTTAAAATATCTTGAACTACTCTTAATCAAAACTTGTTTTACCCAAAATGCACAAACCTGAAATATTACTATAAAAGAACTGTGTAGCTGTACTTGAAAATATCTCAAAAATAATAAAACTAAAATGGATTACTTACCGAGTCGACCTCTAATGGTGGCACCACTGCTGGGTGCTGTGGCTGCTTCTGAAGCTGAAGTTAACAACAAATTTAACAAACTTATACCATATAAACCCTGCTAACAATCTTACGAAGTAATAACATTGAAAAAAATAGCCATCTGGATGAAACACACCCTAAACATGTTTTTATTAACACAAGTAAGAAAGTTACAAAAAATAAAAATACCCTATATTGTACAATACCTTTGCGATTTTTAACAAAACGTTGCAATTCCTCTTTACACACTGCCTCTATTTGGCGATTTGTCACATTTAGTAATATTTCAGTCATTGTCCTTCGCACTTTCAACATCTAAAAATATTAAAGATAACATGGTGTGACATTTGAAATATAGTAATTGTTGTACCAATTCTTCCTGTGTTAAGGGCATTGGTTCTGGAGTCCTATTCTTTTTTTTCACTTTGCTTTCATTATCAGAGTTTTCCCCATCACTTTCCTATAAGAATAAAATTATTGTATTTCAGATCTTGATGAACTTTTAAAATTGATTGATTTAAGATTGATCTTTTTATATCACTGAATTCATTTTTTGCATTGAAATAAAAATATTTCACATAAAACAGATGCAGATTTCATAAAAGACTTATTTCTATAATGTATTTATATAATATTGATATGTAAATAGGTAACAAGAGCATTAGAAACTCATAAAGTGTAACTGATGAAAAAAAAAACAACTTACAAATCTACTTTTTTGTCTTTCTTTCATTGTAGATTTTAAAATTTCCATAGTTTCTTTATTAGAATGTTTAGTTTGTTCCATATATGATTCCCTCTCTTCTTTCTCCTTCTGCTTTTCAATTTGCTTTAATTTCTCCTTCTCCATTTTTTCCAAACCTATTGTTTAAGGATATATTAAAATACTAATATATTTATAAGGACAACTACGATCAACATAAAGCTCTCATAGACCAATATCTAAATAAAACTGCTTACCTTCCCTGATCCAGGCTGGTAATTGCTTTCTCTTGGCAGTATCTAAAGATGCAGGAGTTACTGTGCCTGCATCAATTGGTGAAACTGGCATAGGGGGGAGGGCAGTAGATTGTCTAAGAGGTACATTCACTTTGCTATACCTTTTGTTATGCGGTTTTATGTGTTTGGAAGAAGTTGAAGAGCTGTTCCAATAATGAGAACTATTAGAATTTGAGTTACTGTAACAAAATATAATATTTAATAGTCAGAAATTGATTGGTGTACATTTACATTTAAAAAAATGTTAAATCATATTAATTATTAATATATTTTTTAAGTATTTGCCAAATACAATACAGCAGCTTTATAGTCCCTAATGACAATACATTGGTGTCAAACATAGACTAAAGTGTTCTTTTCCAAATAGTTTTTATAGGTGAAATAGTATTCTTTTCAGACAATGTAGAATTTACCTGCCAAAGGGCACTGCATTATCAGTAACAGTTTCAGGAGGTTCAGCATATGAATTAACAGGAGTAGGTAACAATGGTGCTTTCAATCCACTAATTGTTGGAGCAGGGGGTGGAACTGGAGAAGTCCAACTATTATTCCAATTCCACGATTGGTTTTGTGTATTCCAATTCCAAGCTTCCGTTCCTGGTGTTGGAGCACCCTCATTAGAATTCCACGTCGGTGGAGGCGGCGGTTCTTTATCGTTTCCTGGATCTGGTTCCTTTTCTCGGTGAGCTTTTTTCTTGCTAGGGGCTACAGGGGGTTCTGTGGGCATCGGAGGCGGACCTGCCTCTTTCATCATAATCCATTGCTGTGCTAAGACTGCCCAATCAACTTGTTCACCCGGTACGTTTTGAAAAGATGCTGGATTAAGCGGCCACTGAGCATACTTTTGGGACTCGTTAGAATCGCTTCCTGAATACATTACAATTTCGGTAATTCTAAGCTGGTATTAACAAGTAACCTATTAATAATCTAGAAATTGAAAAGGAAACATTTCATTGAAATGGAAGCACTACAGACCCCATCGGCAAAATTCTACTTTTTCGATCTGATTTGACATTTGAAACTGACATAAAAATAAGGTTCACAAAATTAATAACAAGGATGATAGGAATTGTAAAATATTTTAAGATATATCATATTTCAGGAGGCTTTTTCAATTATTTGCAAATTTAAATCGATTTTCATAAATATATAATTGCAATTTGTGCTATGATTACTGAAATTTGCTTAAATTTCCAACTCGCCAAAAACTAGCTTTTATCAGTAAAGCCAACATTACACGAATGAAAATAATTAAACACTCAAAAACTTACCGCCCAACTAACCCTCATCTTATTATCGATCGTAGATAATTTTAAACGTAAATATTTCTGACGAAGACGATACAAACATTAATCGCACAATGTTGAAAATGAATGTTTCTTTAACCTTCGAAGTCTTGCTATACTTAAATTCCTACTACTTTGGATTATTCGCCATTTGTGAAATATGTATGATATCAGTAAAGTATTTTAGCTTTATCGTTTTGGACCATTATTCTACTGATTTTGGTGTATTAATAGGAGTATGTTTTATAGAAATCTTAAGAGTATTACTAGCTAGTAGAGGAAATCTGACAGAGAGAAGTAAGTTTTTCATTGTTAATTGTTAACACCTATAGGTAACTTGAAAATATTTCCAGAATGGCCAGTGATTGTAGCTATTTTATTAACAATTCCGTCAGTATTGGGAGTAGTATATCTAATGATATGGCAAAGTGAGATATTAAGGTTTGAATATGTTATTTGTGGGATGCAATTAGGATTTTGTGTAGCCGAAATTGTAACTGGAATAATGTGTCTTTTTTCCTGCTGCCAAACACCAGAATATTATTAAAACAATTTTATATGTATATTTTTACTAATAAAGAAATATTAAAACAATCTGTATTATAATATTCTTGATTATTTATTTATGATTTGTCATTTTAAAATTTTATTTACAACGGCCTTTGTCTCATTAAGGTTAACAGCTATGGCCGATAATGTTTTGAGGTTAGATATAAATTACCAGCAGTTTTCAACACTGAACACAAAAATAATCAATAAAATATCAGTACAGCCAACACATAACGTTGTGGAAATGTCAAAAATTGTAAACAATCACATTATTTAAACTTTTTGATTAGACAAAATCCGAAATGTTTTCAAATGTTACAGCTTTGGATTTTCCAACGATATGTCGACTCTGTTTAAAAAAGGAATATTCGAAAGCCATATTTGAAGTACCTGAGTACCTAACATTGATTCAGAACATAACTAATTTAAAGGTACAGTGTTTATTATAAATTTCCTATGATTTGCTTAATTTATAAACCTACTTAGAAGTAATACAATTATTGAAATGAGGTTATAAAAAAATTAAAAGCCTTTTAATTCACGACTATTTAATAGTTAAAATTATGTTTTGGTGTACTTTATTCTTATTTTTTATTTAAAACGGTTCCAAAATATTTATACATGGAACATACTTAAGAATGTAGACATAAAGAGTTAGTAAATGAAAATATGAACTGAATATATGGATATATTGTTTTGTTTTTAAATGTTGTAATTCTTTTTTTTTTCCTTATTCAGGTTCAAGAAAATGATGGCTTTCCAAAACATATATGCCAGCATTGTTTAAACAAACTAAGAGATATTTCTGAATTTGTTCAAATGTGCATCGGAAACAATGATATTTTACTACATATACATGAAAATAACAAAATTAAGAGTGAGTTACTAGAAACAACATTAAATGTTACTGGATTGTTAGTTGAAAATGGAAATGATAGTGATGTATCACTGAAATCAGAACTGTATTATCCTGATCAAGTCTATTCGGATTCAGAAAATGAAGAACCTAAGCCAAAAAAGGTTACCTGTAAATCATGCCAAACATCATTTAACTCTTGGTATAATCTACAAGTACACCAAAAGAAAGGATGCCCAATGTTTGATGTTAAAAAAGTTGAATATATATGCCTCATATGTGATTGGGTGGGTGATACAAAGTCTGCGCTAAGAAACCATGAGAGGAAGGAGCATACAGAGATTGTGGAGGTTTCCGCAGGTCTAACTAAAAAGAAGTGGAAATGTGCTATATGTTGCAAATTATTTACTAAAAAAATTGATCTACAAAGACATAGGAGGGTACATACAGGCTTAAGACCGTTCATTTGCAAACTTTGTGAGAAGGGCTTTACACAAAAGAGCACACTCGAGAGGCACATGAGTTCTCTACATTCTAATCAAGAAGAAAAATACAATTTTGAGTGTTATATTTGTGAAAGAAAGTTTGTGAGAAAGGATCATTTAGAGGCACACATGCACAATGTGCATATCAAAAGACAGAATGATGAACCACTGGAAATTGAATATTATACGAGCTCTAAAAGTTGTAAATTGTGCTCCAAATCTTTCAGTATATTTTCTTATTTACACAACCATCTTATGATAGTGCATGAAGAGACAAAACCCCCCAAACCAAAACCTAGAGAAAAGAAAATAAAATTCGAACACTCCTCAAATCTGTGTAGTATTTGTGGAAAATCTTTCGAAAAGAGAAAAACTTACCAGATGCACATGAATAGAAAACATTCAGAGAAGAAATATGAACAGAAACCTAGAAAAGTTGTAGCTAAAAGAGATAAATTTCAGTGTTGGCATTGTGGGAAGATATTTACCACTCAGTCTAATCTTACAGTAAGTAAAATATATTTGTAATTTTATACAGGGTGTTTATAAATAAGTGCGACACAGGTGTGATTCTGCATGAAAAATAATGACAAATTAACTATATAAATGTATGTCCTGGAATCCAGAACATACATTTAAATGTTTGGTCTTGCTCTGGCTTTATTTAAAAGGCGTAAAAATAGATATTTTATGATATTAACTATGTACTTTATGATATTAACTATTAAAAACACAAGCGAAAGCAATTGCTGGGGCCCAATAGAATATTTTCCAATTCCAATAGTCCCAGTCTGTAGCTAAGCCACTGCTTTGCACGTAATTCTTAATTCAATATGCAGTATTTTATTTTTTCAATTATTCAGCTGCATAGCATATATCAGTCTTTGTCAAGGAAGTATCAGTCAAGTGAGGAACAACTAAAAACCAAAACTAATGAGACGAGAGATCAATAGATTTTTGTCACCACACAATTGGATCATTATAAATTAGTGGGATTCAGTCGCTCAATACTTTGTGATTGCATCAAAACAAATGAATCAATTGTGATTGATATAACACTAAATTGCTTTTTTCTGAGATACAGGGTCTTCAAATTGTTCTTTCAACCTGCTGATATTTATTTATTTATTTCTCTAAAATTGCTTGAGATATCCACATGAACTTCTCCAGAACTAGGACCAAGTCATAAGACTCCATGTATTTGCAAACTGTTACTATGTTAATTAGTGTAGTGTCTCTTGAAGTTTGTCGCACTTATTTACTAACACCCTGCACAAGTTATAGTGCTACTGTGTGCTGTATTGCAAGTTTTGTGTTTTTTTCATCCTTTAAACTATTATCCCTGTTTGGTTTTTATAGAAACTTCTTATGCTCACTCTTCACTGTTGTATGGAGAAGTTTGAATTATGGTTGATATCATAGAAAATTATATGATTCTACTATTGTATCTTTTCAGGTACATATCCGCATTCATACTGGAGAAAAACCATATCAATGTGGATTTTGTGCTCAAAAATTTGCTGCTTATTCCAGTTGGCATGAACATGAAAATATTCACACTGGAAAAAAACCTTTCCAATGTGTGCACTGCAAGAAAGCTTTTAAACAAAGAGGATCATTGAGAAAACACATGAGGTCATCCGTACATAGAAAACCAGTGGAAGAAATGATATCACCAGAACTTCATAATATGGTACAAATAACTTCACTTTAAAATAATGTAAAAGAGGATCTGTTAGAGTGAATAGTGAAGAAGTATGGAATAGTGATTTTTATTACTAGTAGCACAACAATATTTTAATATGTTTATATGAGGCAGTAATTTTAAATTTATAATCTTACTTTTTAAGGCTGTACTTAATAGTAAGTACTTCAATTTATGATATGAATAGTATTTACAATTAAAATTAATTTTTATTTTATTTAGACTGCATAAAAACTACCACTGTAAGAATTGTATAGCAAGGAATAAACCTGAGGTTTTATGTATATACCTACTTAACAATTTTTAGAAGTATTATTTTTGGACACAAATTTTATAGCAGTAATATTTTAAATTTTTATTATGAATTGTGATTATTGATAATATATTTTATATTTATTGTATAAAATTATTTATTATTTGTGTGTGTATGATTGTAGGAATTGATTAATAAACATAAATTAATAAAATAATGTGTTCCTATTATCAATCTAATAATAATACCTAGAATGGACCCATTGAATCACCCCTTGCTCTTACTTGATGAAACATAGAACAGAACACAAAACACAGGTAAACAGTAAAGTAAATATAAAGTATAAAAACTGCATTGCATATTCAGCAAATATATTTATCATTTTGTCACGTTTTGCTGAATATTAGTTTTCTTTAGAACATTTCAAATACCCACTGAATCAATGCCATCTTTGATCAAGTAGAGTAAATATAGTCTCGGCTGATTTCATTTTAAGAGTACTAAGAAAATAGTATCTATAAAACTCAAACCATTGATTAAAAACTACACATAACTAAAAACTGTATAGTAATTTTTAATTAACGCTTAAACTAAAAGAAATTAATTACCCAATCAAAACAAATTCACTCATACGCGGCTGGAAATGTCCAAATCATTTTTCGCATTAATTTCACGTTTGAAATTTCTCAGGGTTACCTATTGTAGACATACTTAAAAAGGTTCTATTTTTAATACATTTCTATCGAGTACGGTAATATCATAAGAATTATTAACTATATATCCTCGTTTTGGAAATTTATTGCTTTACTATTTCCATACTCCAACAGGGTAAAGTTAAAAACATGTTAAAAAGTGATAGGTTTGGCAAATACGCTTTGAAATTTTGTAATTTTTGTAAAAAGTAACATTGCTATATCTGGTATACATTATTTCTCATTATTTTATAGAATGTTCTGGCCTGGAGATTTAGTGGGCAAGTTAGTAAATATTTGTTGACGTCACTCTTTTGACATAAAAGAGGACTGTGAAAAATGCCTATAATAAATGACAGTAAATATACCAACCTTTTAACATAACAATAATAATGATAGAATATACTCTGACAGAGTAAAAACAAATATTTGACGTTTAAAACCAACTTTCAATCCCTTTCAATCTTGAAAATAGAGAAATAAATTACCATAGACAAGTTAATTAAGAAAACTAACATTATTTTCCCAAACTGTTACGGCAATGTGTATTAAGCATATGTAAAAGGTACATTTCTTTAAATGTATTAAATATTTTTTGTAATTAAATATGTAATTGCAGATGGAAGGTAGACTTAGGAAATGGAGAAGCAAACGAGACTTTCTAAAACTTCTGCAGTCTCGTGAAACTAATGCAGAAACGTCTAAATTTTTCAAGCAACATTCACAGTTTACAGATAGCTTAATAAAGAGACTGGGACTGGAGTTTGAGCTACTAGGCCATCAAGGTTGTGTGAACTGTTTGGAGTGGACTCCCAATGGAGAGTAAGTTTTTATGATTTATGTTATCTTTCGTTCTTCATTAGTTATTTGTATATCTTCATTAGACAATCAAATTAGCTTGTTTAATGATAAAAATGTAATATTTTTATAACTTTACAAAACAATAGGTATCTTTTTGGAGTGTTCCTCAATATGATCGAATAAATAATTCATCTTTAGCACTATTTAGAACCGTTGCAAACAAACTTATGTATGGCAGAATGATCACCAAATTTCAATGAGGATATAGCAAGGGAAGAAGATTGGCATTTTGCCTTTCATGATATTAAAAAATAAGCAATAAGCAATAATATAATAAAGTACAAATATACCTGTTTTGCAATCCCTAATATTTTTTAGAGTATTTGAACCTTTTCAGTAGTGAAGAGTTCTATTAGATACAGTTTTGTGAAGTACTAATTGAAACTACAAATATAATCCACTGTTTTTTTATAGCTATATAGTTTATAAGTACTCAATAAAAATGTTAATGATACATAGACAAATCATGAAATATGATGTCATAGATTTATGCTTCATAAGGTGTTTGCACTAAAATATATTTTAACATACCTACTATTGTTATCTTCTTTATGATTTATTCTTATGGTATATGTTCTTATCTGTTGCCTTCACATAAATCATAGTAATTATTTATTGCATATTATTTGTGATTCATATATAGACTGTTTAATCAATGTAATTCATGTGTACCTAAAAATAAAGAAATATTCTGTGATTAAGATATTATTTAATAAAATAAAAAGTTTGTTTTTTAGTATTAATCACACAAATTTTGATTGCTACAGTGAAGGTAACAGAAAACTGATTATATGGAATGAAATGTAAGAGGATAAGATTTACTTTTTCTCTAAAAATAGTATGTATTTGAGCTATAAAACATATCTTTGTACTTATTTCTATTTTAATGTGATTTAGAATCTTATAAAGTTTACAAACATTAAAAAAGAAACGAGTAATTACATGAAAACACTCAAAATTATGCCTTAAGTCTAATACTTGGTAGTGTCATCCTTTGCAGGAATGATTGCCTGGCACCTTCTTGGCATATTTTCTATGCATATCTGGCAATTTTGTGGAATTGTTCCCCTCCTGTGGCCATTCAGCTATTAAGCGCTTGATCAATTGATGCTTTTACAGTTATAATTTTATTAGAAATTTCTTATTTATGAGCTTTTAAAGATTTTCTATTAGATTTAGATCTGGCGAATTGCCAAGTAGTTGTTTGGTAGTCAGGAAGGAATTTTGTAACAGTTTTTGCCTTGTAACAAGGGCTGAGTCATACATGAACATGAAACTGCTATTTAGAAACCATTATTGGGCCTGGAAAAGCATTTTTACTTGCAGTTCTTTTAAGTACTGGTCCTTAAAAAGTAGAGTCTACTAGTTCCTTGACTGCTTATGATACCACACCATGATGTTTAGGGGGTGCTTTACCGTCCTTACAATACAATCAGCTTTATCTTTTCCCCCAGGTCTTCCCCTTACAAATTCAGCTCTAGCCTTGAGCATCTGCACAGTAGATTCATCTGAAAAACAAACCTGTAATAATATTATTATTATTTTAGAATCATGGACAAATTGATCAACTGTAAACTAAATAAAAGAAAAACAATGTTAAGCAATATTATTTACCTGATTCCAATCATCAATGGTCAAATCTTTGTGATCTTTAGCTCGCTGAAGCCTTGTTTCCTTGATTGTTGGTGTGAGTAGCAGCTTGTTTGCTGGGCGAGAGATTGAAAACCCCAGATCCTTTATTCGACGATGAGCTGTCATTGATAAAATATAATTGCCAGACTCCTGTATCATTTTCGTTCAAAACCTTCAAGGTTTTTTGTGTGCCAACACAATATCTTGAATTTTTCTTTCATCTCGTGCTGCAATTTTTTTCGCTCACATTTTTGTTTGTGCCTTGGGGTCAAATCCAGATTTTCATCAAATTTTTTCTTTATACAGTTCACAGTTATACAGTCCCCTTGAAACTTTAGAAATTGATGCTATTTTTCTGTTGTATTCTGTTGATTCCCATGATGTTCTGGTACCACTGGTGTAACAAACAGGCAATATTTGTTAAATTCATAAAAAATAGTATATGACTGTCAAAATATCACTAGAGAGCTAAGGAAACTATGTATTATACCTCTAAACAATGGCATTTGAGTCACTAATTGCCACATTCGCTGTAGTCAGGCTATTTATTGTACTTTCATAAAGTGTTACAAGATAATCAAAAGGAAACGAATGCATTAATATACCATACAACTCAATTATATACCCTTTTTGTAAAAAAAATAAATTTTGATAGATGGTTCTAATAATTTGATCACCCACTATATATGTAATAGGTAGTCGCATTTTGTTGACTATGTGCATATTATCTATTTTTTTATATTCCATTCAATGCTGTATATAAATCTTCAGTTTTTAATGTTATTTTGATATATTATATATACTTGATCTAGTATAAGTCAGTAAAACAATATTATGTATATATATTTTTACCCTATTTATTTAACTATCCTATATAAATTACCCATACTTTTCAGGCACTTGGCTTCTGGTTCAGATGACACAAATATTATATTATGGGACCCTTTTCGCCACAAACACCTGCAGCTTATACCAACTCAACACATTGGAAATATTTTCTCTGTTAAGGTAACATTTTTGGACACATATAGATTGCTTAGTTAAAGGATACTAGTTTGACTGTAGTGTGTATTCAAAAGTTTTGGTTCTTTGTCAATTTCTTTAACTACTTAATGTATTATCCTGTGTCTGACACAGAACGGCTTGCAGGTAAATAATATACTAAAAACAAGCAAATGACATTTCACATTGAATAACTTCTATGAAATTGTTAATATCAAATTAGATTATATTATTTTTATGATTGATTAATATGTGGAAATGACTATGATTCAAGTTTTTATTGTAGAACCTCTTGTAATTTTTTTCTAATGGGTATATATAAATATGTCAAATGAGTATTAAGTTTAAGTTTATTCTATAGTTTTTAGGAGGTTCGTCCACAGAAATAGCAACAGCTTCAGGTGATGGTAGGGTCTTAGTACAATCTATTCCAACGGCAGTCGCCAAAGGACATCCGCTTTTGGAATGCAGCTGCCACATAAATCGCGTGAAAAGATTAGCCACTTCTCCAATTGAGCCTTCTTTGTTTTGGTCTGCAGCTGAAGATGGACTCATTATGTGAGCTATTTTTTTTTTATAATCTTGAAATTAAATTTTGCACACTAAAATTATTAAAAGGAAAGATCAGCCCCTGAAGTTATTTGTTATCTTTTAAATTCCAGTCAATACGATTTAAGGGAACAGCACGAATGTTCCTCCTCCCAAAGAAAAGTGTTAATTGACCTGAGTAGCAATTATGGAGAGCTCAAATGTGTAGCTATTAATCCTATGAAACCACATTATCTAGCAGTTGGGGCCAATGATTGCTATGTAAGATTATATGACCGTAGGATGTTGAAACCTTACATAAGGGAAGGGGTAAGATTTCAAATTTGTATTTATACCGAATATTAATTATTCTGATTAATTAAATTGTGAACAATAAATTATTTTTTAGCATTTTTTGCTTTCCATGGATATGATTGCAGACAAATCGTCAGAAAGAGAACCAGTAGAGTTGAACTGTGCGCAATATTACGCTCCAGGCCACCTGGCCGTGGAAAATGCCAAAATGATCAATTATAAATTGGCTGTAACAAATATATCTTTCAATTCTGCCGGATCGGAAATGTTGGCGAATATGGGCGGTGAACACATCTATCTTTTTAACGTCAATAATTCTAGGCACATTAGTGATATGCAAGTACCTCAGATGGTCAATAAAAAGGATCAGCCCGTTTGTAAACAATGTCGCAAGACGGTAAGTAAAATTTTGGCTTTTTAAAATACCATTCAAGAAAAATTGAGTTATGCATTGGATTCTTTTTCTACTCAGTACACCTCTAGTTTTTGTTCCCACCTCTAGTTTTATACATTAGTAAATGTCAAATTTATTAAGAAAATGTCATTACCCGCCTTAATGTATATTACGTATGTTTAGCTGAAAGCTTTACATACTGTATAATGTGGTTTTTGGTTGTCAGACACTTATACATTTATATTCGACAAATTATAACTTACTTATTGCTTTTTTTACAGGGAGGAAACGGTTATATAAACGGCGTAAAACTAGATCACTGTCCGGAAGAAAATTGTATGTGCTTCTACCTAGAAAGAGCAAATCAGTGTCAAAAGCGGAAATGGTAAGAACTTTTATTCTAGATATTTTAAATATTTTTTCTACTCTTACTAAGGATCTGAATGCTAATAAATGTTTTGAGACAGATATAGTGAGTTAATTTTAATATTATGTATGGGCACATTATTTTAGTTGCCGGAGATAGACGTCAATATTGATATTTTAAACATTATTTTCTAATAATTATTTTGAATATTCCCAAAGTTAAAAGAACCTTCTGCTGTGCCACTCACTGATTATTTATCTCCACATCTCGTCATTTGTACTACAAATTAACTTCCACTGTCCAGTGAAGCATGTTTAAAATTTCCTTAAATTATTTCCCTTAGAAAATTACTTGCATGCCACTTATGGTATATACTTTGCTAGAAACCTTAAAAATAACCCAAAAGCAACGAGCGATTTGTCATGCCTTTTTTTCAACAACGAAATAGTTCGCCAAATGTTTCCCTGCTCTTTTTATCTTTCATTTGTTAAATAGAAACCCTTACTCTTAACAAAGAAACTAGCTTCTATTGTCGAGTACCCAGTTTACCTTCTAAGAAAAACTGAGATGTTGGTTTTCCATGAAATAATTTTTCCTGTCGCGAGAAAGTAGAAAGGTTAGAAATACGACCACACTAGCCTTGTCAATTAAGTATCATTTTTGCGTTGCACTCTTCGGACAATACTACTAAATGCGGTTTTCTACATCAAACGGCGGTAAGTGTATTTTCAATTCACCATTATCAATATATCAATGGTACAGACGAGAAGAAATATAATCCCACAAAACATTATACATGAAGATGACATTGAAACGGTTGGAAAGTTTACATACCTGGGAGTAGAAATATATGCCGATTGAGCAGAGGATGGAGAAATACGAAAAAGGATAACGCAGGCAAACAAAGCTTATTTTGCCCTCTCCCATATATTTCGGTCTAAAAGTGTCCACCGAAATACAAAGATGAGAATCTATAAAACTTTAATTCGGCCAATAGCATGTTATGGCAGCGAAGCATGGGTCCTGAAAGAAACATCCAAAAACAAACTCGACACATTCGAAAGAAAAGTACTAAGGAGAATACTAGGACCTGTGAGGGAAAACGGAATCTTCAGAATTCGATATAACAACGAGCTCTATCAACTGTATAAGGAAACACCCCTGTCAGACTTCATTAGAATACAAAGATTGCAATGGGCCGGACATGTGATACGAATGGGAGAGGATAGGCTACCAAAACGAGCACTGAACGCCAGAATGCAGGGAAAGAGACCAGTTGGAAAGCAAGAAAGCGCTGGGAAGACACAGTAAGCAGCGACGCACAAGCACTTTTAGGAGTCCGTGTATGGAGAAGAGCAGCCACAGACAGACAAGGGTGGAGGCAAAAAATAAAGGAGGCCAAGGCTCATTTTGGGCTGTAGTGCCATAGAAGAAGAAGATTATCAATATATCTTCATACAGTGCTTCCTATATTAACTATTTTCTCTTTCGTCAAACAGACGTCTTCCAATTCGAGGACACGGAGTCACTTCCGTTTGCCGATCTTCTTTTGTTCTTCTGCTTCTTTTTTCTTTCTTCCTACATCTATTCAGTTCAGTCTAGTCTAGTGTGAAAATTGACTGATACGTTACCTGTGCTTACATCAATTTGAGAGATTGCGGAATGAAGCCACTGTAATTCGTTATCTTATCTAAAGCATCTACGCTGCTTGAGAAGTCCCACTGTACCTGTTGCGAGGACAACTTGTCAAGTGCGTTTATTGAGAACGTTCTATGAAATAACGTCATTACCTGTGCCTAGCTGTTGCCGATTGTATTATGAGTATCGATATTTTTCTTGACTAAAGCTCATCTTCGCTACCTACATCATTAGGAGTTGATTTATGACTCCAGTTCAGTGTCTTGACCTTATTTATGGGCGTTAACTTTGAATCCAACCGAAAGAACGATTATTATTATAAATATACGGTATATATACATACAAAATATGATCCGATTTGTTTTATGTGTAGATTATATTTATAATAAATTTTATACACATATTTGAGGTGATCTCGATCAAACGTTTTAGTAATTTCATGTTTACTTATTCTCAAGGCGAAAAAATCACTTATTTGTTTTATTTCAAGCTATCAAATATTGACGTAGATACAATTATAAAATTCCTTGCCTTTTTCTTATTCTTGAGGATACTAAATTATTCATAATTATTTTTCAAAAATACATTTTTTGATGTGTTTAATAATAAATTCTGCAATAACTTATCTCCTGCCATTTAACTGTTCAGTAAAAATTGTTATAATGCATTTACTTTAACTACACCTCAATATAACCTTGTTGATGAACTATTTGCCTTTTATTTTTTTATTATGTATATAAATTTATTTTTTGTGCATGGTGTATCTCTTTCAGACGTTGTTATTGATTTATATTACTATTTGATTTATCATATAAACAGTGTAACCCCCGATGGGGTTACCGATGTAATTTTCCGAATTCATCATCATCATCAGTGGTGCTACAGCTCTAGTTGAGCCTTGACCTTCCCCAGTCTATTTCGCCAGTCGTTTCTGTTCATCGCCAACCGTTGCCAATTTGCCGCGCCGATTTTCCTTGCGTCCTCGTCCACACCGTCCCTCCATCTCAGTCGTGGTCTGCCTCTACTCCTATTTCCCACTGGGACCGATAATAGAGTTCGTCTGGGTGGGTAATTTTCATTTGCTCTTGACACATGTCCAGCCCATCTAAGCCTGCCTATTTTTATGAAGGATATTACATCTCTACCATTTACTATTTTTTTTATATTTCTCGTACAATTCGAAATTATATCGCCTTCTCCAAATACCATTCTCACAGAATGCGCCCATTATTCTTCTTAGTATCTTCCTTTCGAAGACGAGCAGAAGATTTGCGTCTGTTTTGGAGATGGTCCATGTTTCTGACCCATATGTCAGCACTGGTAGGATGAGTGTTCGATATATTATTAGTTTGGTTTTCTGGCTTAAGTTTCTGTTTTTTAGCTGCTTGCTTAGTCCAAAATAACATTTGTTTGCTAGCAGTACCCTCCGTTTAACTTCTTCAGATGTGTCATTATCGTTTGTTATGAGAGAACCCAAATATGTAAACTTATTTACTACCTCAAAATTATATTGGTCTGTACTGAAGTTTTGTTCGGCGTTTCTAGCTCTATCTCTGTTATTTGGAATAGATGCTAGCATTTTGGTTTTTTCCTCGTTTATTTTAAGGCCCATGTTTTGTGCGGCAGTCAAGAAGGTGGAAGTCATCTCTTTAAATCCTCGTGTAGTACGTGCAATCAAATCCAAATCGTCAGCGTACGCCATAATCTGCGTTGATTTATTAAAGATTGTTCCCCTATTGTGTAACTCGGCATCTCTTATAGTCTTTTCTAACGCTATATTAAAGAGAAGGCACGCACAAGAGAATTTCCCGAATTGCCACACTAAAATTGAACTGGGCCGGACACGTCTCCCGAATCAGTGATGAAAGGTGGACGAAGAGATTGATTGAGTGGAGGCCGAGATTAGACAAAAGAAGTAGAAGAAGACCTCCTACACGATGGACTGACGATCTCAAGAACATGTCAAGAAATTGGATGAAAAGCGCTCAAGGCAGAGCACAATGGACAAAAATGAGGGAGGCCTATGTCCAGCAGTGGACGCAAAGGGCTGGATGATGATGATGATAAACAGTGTATATGTGTCGAAATATGAAGTGTGTACCGTACAATCATAATAACTTTTCTCTCGCGGTTTATTCCATTCTCGCGTGATTATCTTAACCGTACCTTACCTTTCTCGTTATCTTATTTTATATTTCGTAGGTTACCCTGTTTTTCTAAAAATAGGGTGGTGTCCAAATATTTCCCTTATCTTTATCTTCTAACTTCTCTTCTCTTTATCTTCTAAATTCTCTTTATCTCCAGTACTTCTTCAACTCTCCAGTACTACTATTCCAACTAATTCTTTGTATTTGAACTGTAATAAGATCCCCGACAAAGAGACCTCTATCAGACTGAAGCCCAAGGCTAGTACTGTTTCCTGTGTAACCTCTATTCTTTCATTAAAGAGGGTATACATAAAGGAAAAAAGTTTTTAGATATTTAAAAGTCACTTTAACACAAAAATCATACTTAAAATAACCAATAATAGCGTTAAATTATTTTTTTTATGTAAACTTGCCGTTTTTACAAATGCATTTTGGCTGTTTTATTAGGATGGGAGACGTATATAATGCTGCTAGGGACTTTTTACACGTGATACAGAATTGGCCTAATCACACACAGGCTTATATTGGCCTAATAGAGTGTTTAATAGAACTTAAATGGGGGAAGGAAGCTCAGCGATGGCTCGACTATTTTCTAAATTTACCAATAAATTCCAACCACGAAAAGGTAAGCATTTACTTCTTATAATTAGCGCATACAATGTCATTTATTTTTATTTCTTCTTTTTTTATGGTCGCTTATATATTTTTTCTTTTTCTTAAACTTTTCTCAACTATTACCTAATATGCTTATTATTTTTTTCTTTGTTTTCTTTTTTTATTTGCGTTTTCTTCCTTTCTTTGCTTGTTATGTATTCTGTTGCCGCTTTATTTCATACTTATCATTTTATTTTTCCAATATCTTTGCTGTTTACTTTTGCTATACTAAATTTTTATAATACTCATATTGTATTGTCTCGATTTCTTTTGTTCTTTATGATTTCTGTAATTTCTCTGCCGTACACAACTTTTAATTTTCCCAGTATCTTTATTATCTACTTTTCATGTAGTTAACTCCTATTATACCCAATATTTCATTCTTTATATCCTTTTTGTGTGTGTTTTCTTTCTTACTTTTTTCTTTCATGTATTTTATTTCCAACTTACCATTTTCTTCATTTCGTACCTTTGCTATATATTTTTAGTGTAATGAAATTATTTTTTTGGTACTATTTACTTTTTAGTCAGTTGTTTTACCATCAGAAGTTCAAAATGTGCTCGTGTCCAATCAAGAGAAAGCCAACAGAGAAAACGAGCTCGCAGACCAATCAATATCCGAACGTACTCTCAGGAAAGTGGGGGAAGTTGAGCAGAAAAGAAGGCTGGAATCTCTAGATTTTGAACTGCGGTTCCTCGGACATTGTAATACTACAACTGACATTAAGGAAGCCAGCTTTTTAGGTAATTGGATTTTGCTTATTTTATTAAAACTTCTTGCTATAACACATTCTTCTAAATCCTAGACTGTAAAACTATCGTAAAACACTCGTTATTAATATTTTATAGATAAATAGTTGGTTTGACATTTGTATTAATAATACAAATTACAAATTATGATTCATCATTTTTCATCGTTGCACAACTTTCAGCATGTATCTTTAAACAGATAAATTAATAATAATAATAAGAACCTAAACCCAACATTTTCCTCATTTTATATTGGCGACGTGCAAGTACTTGGAGGGGATACGAGAAACGATCGTGCGTGAGTAGTGGAGAAATCTTGCATCTTTTACTGCACATTTCATAGATTATAGATTTCATAAATTCATATTGTCAATTGTCATATTTCATATTCCATATTCGTTTTGTTTATTTACACCTTCTGTCACTGAAGAAAATGGGATTTAGGAAATGCTGTGTTATAAATTGTAAAAATACAACAAAAAATTGTCAATTTAAGTTTTATTCGTTTCCAACTTCGAAGCACAAAGCTACTACAAAGAGAAAAGTGGATTTATATCAAAAAAAGCATAAGTAACATAACCTAAATTATGCATTATTCTTGCGCCCGATTTTAAAGTCAGTTTGAAATAAATAATAAATAAAAGTTCACTTTTACGTGTAAATTTTAGTTTCATAACACTCACTTAGAGTTCATTTTAACTCAAAAATCAAGTTTAATGTTTGAATTTTATTTTTTTGAAGTT